CTCCCACCTCCACGCCTTTCCTCCCGCCGTCCTGTTCATTCATATCCCCTCTCTCTCTGCTTCTCTCTCTTACTTATTTATTCACAAGGAATAAGTGACCCTCAATACTCCAGTGCAGATCTCAGGGAAGCAAGGACATTCTCCTGCATGCCCACAGCACAGCCATCAAAAGCAGGAAGTTACACTGGTGCTGGCGCATCTAATCCACTGACCCTCTTTCCATTCTGCTAGTGGTCCCCACAGCGCCCTCCGTCGGCCCAGGATCCGGCAGTGCATCTGATCACCAGGCAGTCCCAGCGCCCGGGTCGTGGCTCCTAAATGCTATTCTGCTGTGAAAGGAACCAGCGCCCCTTAGAGAAACGTCCGACTCCAAGAGGGGCAGGCATAAGCCTGGAATTCTTGCTGTGCCAGAAAGTAAGGAAGTTCTCCAAGAATGCTGGGGACATGTTAAAAAGACAGGTGTCAGCTCGAATGGGTGCCCACTGGCCCAATTGGGCACAACTGAAGCATCACAGTAAACATAATATAAACCAACGGTAACCCTGGGGGTTAGAACAGGGATGGAGGAGTCTGCAGTGACAGGTCACAAGTGGGGGAGAAGGGACCGCTCTTGTCACCACGGCTGCCTTTATCTCCCCACTAGCTTGTATTAATTATTTACTGATTAATGAGTCAAAATAATTAACATTATAACTTTATATATTATATATATGTAATTGTACATAACTTTATAAACAGAAACCTGGAAGACATCACCTTAACCAAGTGGTCAAAGTTAACATCGCCAGGAATGGGACAGGTCAAGGTCATGACCTTTCTGAAACTATGCCCGGAGAGGACCAGGACATTACTGCTCCGGTGTTCCTGCCCCAAATTCACAAGTCCTGCAGAGGTGTCAGACAGACCTAATCTGACGGCAGCCTATAAAGGAGCTGGCCTGTGTCCATGGGGGGGAAAGGAGTATGTGGGCGAGAGCACTGTTCTTTCAAACGTCTGCTGTCCCATCCTGAGGGCCGGCGGGTGCCTTGTTCCCTGCTGAGGTGCAGTACCTACATCGGTGTCTGGCACATAGCATATGCTCAGTGAAGGTCTGCTAAATTAAGTTATTTTGGACAGATGTGGAGCCCCAACAGGCTCCCCATCGGGCTGGAAATCTCTCCCTAGGGGGAGACTGGATACCCCTCAAAGCCCGAACCGACCTTCCTTGCAGAGTCACAGAGATGAGGAAGCAGTGGTGGGAGTGGGGTGGGGGGTCTGTGACACCGGTTTCCTCTGCAAAGTCCCAGTAACTTTCCCTCTCGCGAGTTCACAGATACCCACAGCATCCTGTGGCAGAGATGGCAAAGGTGTCACTTTAGCCCAAATTTTGAATAAATGGAAACAGAGAGGCCAAGGTGCCTGTCCAAGGTCACACAGCAGAAGGGCTATTGTGGCAAAGTCCTCCAGAAGGATGGACTAACGCAGCACACTGAGGGCAGTCAGGGAGTCATCTTTGATCCCATTTGGAGGGCACTTCCAGATGTGTGCACATGCACACACACATGCATACATGCACAAACACATACACGCACATGGCCACACACACACCAGCTGGCTTCACAGGATGTGGGTGCTGCAATTCAGGGAAACCATGGCACAGATACAATGAGCGGAAAGGCCTCCCTCAACATTGCAGGGGACGGGGGACAAAGGTGCAGATACATAAGAAATTAAAAAGAATAATTACCAAGTGATCCTGGTCAAGCACGTGGCAAGAAGAAACAATTTCAAGTTCATACCCTCAGTCACAGATTCCTAACCTGCTGGAGTCAGGAGGAGTCTGAAGGATCACCTGCCTAGCTCAACTGCCAACCTGGACAGGGGTGCCCTGCAAATATCCCATCTTGGATATACTGCAGTCCAGTGTCTGCTTGCGCTCTTCCATGGACGGGGCGCTCATCCCCAGGTCATGGTTGAGCAGAGTCTGATGATCAGAAACAGCTTCCTTATGCCTAACCA